CCCTCTCCTTATTTCTGTAATTGTGCTGATACATATTTTTGAGATGTTTTTCCACTCTTGCTTTACTTCATCTTCTGGTTTTGTTGTGCCTTCTTCCATGTTTTTTCATTTTCTTGACCACCTTGTGTTGCCATCTCTTTTTATACATTCATTTGCATGTCCGTCTTCCTTTCTGTTTTATTTTCCCTCCTCCCAACCTTCTTCCTTTTCACAGCATTGGAACACGGGAGGTAGTCACCCAGAAGAACTTGAGTGGCTTGGTGCCCATCCGAGATTTCAGACTAGATCCCAGCCTCCTCTACTCTATCCCTTTACTAGCTCTCAGCCCCAATTTACTGATTGTGTGGCTGTTTCTGAGCATAGCATACCTGGTGGCCAGATTACGTTGCAAGTGAAGATGAGGTTAAAAAAAAAAACAGAAACAAAAAAGTGCTTGAATGTGTATTGCCACTTGGTACCTGCTGGACAGAGGAATGTGTCATAGCATTGTCTGCCAAGAATTATTATGCCTTACAATTTTACGTTTCTATTGTACTAAACTGTAAATACACATCAAATTATTTTATCAAAAAGAATTGTATTAAAACTTTAAATTATTGTTCTGCTTTCAGTGCTTGTAACATAGTCTGACATTGGCCTGTTACCTCGTTACCTTAGCTGGCCTGAAGATCTCTTACCAAATACAGTTTTGTGTTACTTGTTTCATGTATTCCAGAGAAAGGAACTCTGTCTGAAAATAATTTATATCTTTTTGTATATTTATGGTGTATGCTAATCTTGCCTTTCATTTTTACGAGGTATGAAGAGAAAACTAAAAACAGGGGTGGGGTTTATAAGAAATTGTAAGAAATTTATTTAAAGAAATAAACAAATTTCTACCTTCATTTCAAAGCATAATATCCAAATTACGTTACTGAACAGTTTGTAGAACCATAGTCTTGTTCCTTTCTCCTGGTTAAGTATGTTCTAATAGATTAGTGTACCCACCTGAAAAACAACTTGCGGTGCGCTGCATGCAGAATTATCTCATTCTATTTGTAGATCTGCATTTTGTAATGTATTAAAGACGTACAGAGAATGACTTGTGGTTAGGAAGAGGATGTGATTGGCGTTAGCCTGCTAATGATCCGTTAGCTGTTTCAGGTGCTCTGTTATAGAACTTACTCTGAAACAGAGTCATTATTATCCTAGAAGTTAAAGATACTGGTCTTTAATATTTCAGGCAAGAAGTGGGAGGTTATCAGTTAGCTCCTTTAGTAGGTGGGTTCGAGGTTTTCCGTTTGGCTTTGTTTTAATTACACTACACTAAATATTACTGTTGTTTTCATTTTTAAGTGTTGAGCAGCTTCAGTAAATTATGATGTTGATAGTGACTTAGAGATAAATGAAAGATGGCAGGTTAACGTTTATTTAAGTGGTGAGACTAAAGCGGCTTACCTAGTTTAGTCACGCAGCATAACTGCAGAAGAAATTTGATCATCATTTTTTTATAGCATCAAACTGGGAGGGGCCTATTTAAACTGAAAGAGTTTGTTGATGCAGTGGTCTGGCAGAGCTTGTCAATAGCAATAGCTGATCAGAAAACCTAACCTCATTTAATGTAATTTGTTAAATTCATGAAGGGATTTATTTCGCTTGGTGCCTGAGGTGACACAGAATTGGGCTTCTGAGGAGAACTCTTCTAGTACTGTGATTTCTATTTTCTACTATTATTAAGTCGGTCAAAAAACATAGGTAGCTGTAGCTTTTATTATCAATGTTAATGGAATTTGAAAACTTCTGAGAGATGTAAGCTTAAAAAAAGCATAGTTAGAATAAAATGCTAAATTTAGTGAATATTCTAACTAAAAAAAAAAAAAAGTGTGTGATTATGTTTGTGTCTTCATGAAATCAGACTGTACAGTACACTATCTCCTGGTATTTTTCCCCTACTATTCTTCCAATTTTGTTTCTGAAAGAAAAAAAAAAATAATCAAACAGAAAGACATGTATATATATATTTAAGCGTGTATCCTGTTTATTTTTAGTTGCAATGAATTTAGGTAAATCCTTACTGCTGGTGACATTTAAAATTATGGTATGATGGTTCTGTGCTGATACCGAGTACCACTGTGTCTCTGTACAAATCGTCTCTTCTTTCTGATCAACACTGGTTCATTTGCGTGGGTACCAAAATCTACCTTTTTTTACAAATGTCAGGTTGGACTGTGGCCTTGTTCTCGCAATGTGGTGAGAGTCCTGGGTTCAGTCTAACAAGATGTGAAAGTGACTTTTGTAGGCGTATCTCCACTGAACTGCCTGAGGTTATTAATCTGTTTAAATAAAGTATGAAGGCTTTGCTCATTACTATCATGAGAGTTGCAATGAGACCACCCTTAAATTAATCTAAAATGAAATCCTAGGCTTTCTGAAAAAAAAATGTAGGTTATTTTCTTTTTTTTTTCCTTAAACTTTGGCAGGGACGCGTTTTCATATTTTTTTCTTTTTTAGCTTGGTCTGTGCTTTCATTCAGGTGTTCAGATTTACAGTGCTGTAGTGCGTACTGCTTATGTGCCTCCAGCAGAAGAAACACGGCACATGAAATGGTGCATGAAATCCATCTTTGTCACCATCTCTGTGGCCCACCTGTGCCACAGAGGGACATGTGCAATAACCAGATGCAGTGGAATGAATTATGAACAGAATGATTCACTTTGGAGTGAAAATGCTCATCTGGCATCCCATACATACTATTTAAACTTAATGTTTTTATTAGTACTCTGAACTATAATTTGTGCACATTTTTGATGACTCTTTGGCTGCAGCAGCCTTTGTGGGGGGTTCTGTGAAACGCAAAACAATGCCATAAATCTAGCGTCATCACGTACAATCCATCCTACAAAAGGCAGGCACGGAATGTGCTCTGGAGACAAACTTCAAACTTAAACTGTTTCTTAGAGCAAAACGTTAGAATGTTTTATGAAGTTAAACTAGGTGGTACATACAGAAGGCAGTTACAGTCAGTTTAATTAACCAAAATTAGAAGAACGGTGAGGTCAGTAAGAGCAGAGAGCTTTTGAACCGAACCTGAATCCAAACCCTCCTTTTGAATCAGATGACCATAATTTACCTGGTAGATGCTGCAGACATCTCCAAGACAGGAATAACATGACATTTCCACCATAAGATGGTGTACTGTACACTTTGCCATGAAGTTCTTGTATTCGTTGGTCAGGTTTCAGATGTCTATCAGGGAAAGACTTTCTTCTAGAAGCCTAAATTGATTTGTAATGTATATTTAAAGGATAGTGCTTCCTCTTTGTACGTCTGTTTTTGGATATAACAAAGCAACTCTGAAGTAGATTTACAAGTGTAAAGAAGCCTTAGAACTGGAGTAGTTTTTTATTGTAGCACAGAACCTCTTTGTAATGCAGGGCAGTTGCACCAAAACATTAGGTAAAAATTAAATTCTGCACAGCTTTGTTTCATTGGGGTGATGACTGTCAGTGCAGCCAATCTTTTTTTGCACTCACCCAAAGCTGCTCTTTCATGAATAAGATTTTTTTTTTTAGACTATGTTGGTTTCGAGTTAATTTATGCATGCAGAGATAACTGGAAAGTCATTATTTTTGTATCAGCTCTAATCTTTAAGTAAGTACTGATAATACTGACATACAGGGAACAATAAAATGACTTTAAAGCTCTTACCGAGAGAACAGCAGTTTTTCTTTTTCAGCTTAATATACTAATAAATTAGCAGAACTGCTTGTAAGCAATCTCTTGGGATCCCTTGTGCAATGAAGCGGCATGTGAACTCCGCAACAGTGTACCCTGAAATACATGAAACCACCGTGAAAGAACTTTTTCAGTAGATGCACTGCTGCTTTTTAGAAATGCAAAACTAGCAAGCAGACATAGCATGTGTCCATTCTGTGTGCTTCTTACTAGCATTGTATGATGAGTCATCATTTTTAAGATTTGCAGTGGCAAATTAATTAAACGCTCATTAAATATAACCAATTTTTTGTTATAATGCTATAAAATAACCAGTTCATTTCATCCTAGTTTAAGTCTTTTTTTTTTTTTTTTCCTTTTTACTGCTGTCATTTTTTGTGCTTGTTTTTTTTCCCCAGTGAGGGTTGTCGGCGAGAAAATACAATGAAGAATGTTGGATGTCGCAAGTATGCATTTAATTCCCTGCAACTGAAGGCTTTCCCAAAGTATTACAGGCCTCCAGAAGGAACTTATGGAAAAGTTGAAACATAAGCATACCATGTCCTTTAATTGCTGTTCCATTAAAACATGTGGATACACTCTAGATTAATACATGATTGTGTCATCCAGAAGAGATAAATAACCTTTTTGTACGTTTCACTAGGTTATCCAGAGCATGTTACTTACAGAATTGGAATCTATAGTAACAATTATTCTGACACCTTAGCTTGAGAATAGTGTGATGACTCTCTGCCCGTTTAAATAGCCTTCAGTGTATGTAAGATGAACAGATATTGTGCTACTTAATAATTACCTATATGCAAAGAGCTAGGTACCTCCTGGATGGGCACGGACTCTGGGAACAGCATTTAGGCAGCTGTTTCACGTAACATCTTTTTATACTGAGTTGACTTGAGATTGAGCTTTTCATAAACTTTTTAAAACTGAGAGTAGAACTCAAAATTAAGTTGTAAATAAAAAGGGATTGGATCCTAGACCGTCTAATAACTGTAGAATGCATTGTTACAATCAAGAAACAGAAGTTTAACTTTAAAAAAATAAAAAATCAGCACAATAAAAGCCAGGAGAAGAAATTGTTTTACTGCATATTGGATGCCATCTTCAGATGTGAAATTAACAATACGTAAAAGGCCAGGCATATGAGGTCTAGTTTCTAGTTCTGTCCAAGTAAAACAAGTTCCTGTCGTCTTCAGCAGATGAGGCCTTTGGCACACAACTGATTTTAAAAAGCGTTTCAGAAACGCAATGATGCTTAACCATTACTGCCAGCAACAGTTCCCCCTGCCCTTCCCCGCTATAAGGCAAGTGCAACAAGTGAGCTGCCAACGTTGCAGGTGACATGTTCAGTGTGTTCCATGGTATTGTGTATTAATTGTCACATTTTTACCCATGGCTTTTTATACCACTTCTGGATTGTAAGCATTAGTATCTGGAGGGGGGTTGCATTTTTTTGCTTGATGTTTGATTTTTTTTTTCCATATCAATTTTGTAAGTCAATACAAAAACACTCCCAAGTGCGCGAGGCATCCCCGTTCCTCCATAACCAAAACTGGTTTTACCTTTGCATTTTACCTGGGCAGATGCTCAGAATCCTGAGGGGAAAGTATGACTGTTTTCAGGGTATTTCTGAGGAAGGTAGTGATGCCCCATGTTGACAGAAAGGAAGTGCTCATGCGCCACTGCTGATGCGTGAGAACCTCAGATGTGTTCTAGCTTATGACCGAGGTGATCGGTTTGATAGCACTTGATAAAAAATGTTCCGCAGATCTCCTCGGAAATAATCTCCCAAAGAATGCCTTTGAAGCTAAGATACCTTTTTAAAAAGGAGCTAAACATCAACGTCTAAATTTTAACAGGATTAAGTCATCTCTAGCTAGCTTTGTTCAGCACACTGCGCCCTGTCCTTCTTGGTTTCCAAGGCTGTAAGTTTTAGAATAGGAAAACCTGCTCGTTTATTCTTGTGAGAGTAGCAACAGCCAGGTAAGTATATGGCTGTTTTCTGATTTCTTTCTCCCTCTCACTGATGTTTGTCTGTGCTGTCACTGCTCTATCAATCAGTCATGTTCATCCTGCTCCCATGTAGGTTTGGGGGTTACAGGTCTAGCGGTTTTTGCATTTTGCTTTTTGCAGTTTAACACTGAGCAGCATGTCACAAAGCCAGGCCAGAGAGTTCTGCTGAACTAGGTTGTTACCATTCTTTCGGTCTCTCTAGGATAACAAAACACTGAATTCTGTGCAAAGTCGATATATTGTACTACCTATCCCAGGTCTGAACAAATCCTCTACGGTAGGACAGTCCCTTGGAAATCTTACAAACCTGGTTCACCAATTAATAAATGTGTTGATTTTAAAAAAAAATTTTTTGTTAATATGTAAAAAAATGTATGGTGAAAAATGGGATCTCTTTACACATGTTACCGCATTAGTTCTGCTCAACCCTGGCCCGTTATTAAATGCTACATTTATTTTTGTATAAACTATACTCTTTATATCCCTTAGTTTTTATGAGTTGATAATTTTATTTTGTATATTTCAAACATAGTTAATTATATTTTAAGTCCTGCATTGTTACACTAAAAATCTTCTGACATTCAGCTTCAGAAGACAATAACCAGAGGTCTGTCGTAAGAATTAGCAGAGCCACTCTCTTAGACCGTGGCCAACAATCATTAGATCTGCTCTAGAGCTTAGCGGTCCTTTATTTATTTTGTATACCGACGTAATCAGAAGAAGTTGCCGACTTTTGTATGTGCATGGTTTTTGCTCACCTTTTTCAAGTGGTGGAATACCAGTCTCCAGTACTGCGTTATTTGGTTTAAAGTACTCCGATTTCAGTATGCTTACGTGTAAAACATCGTTGTCCAGCTAACATTTTCTATATACGACACTGTCAGTACATGCACGTCGACAGGCTTGTTCGAAGGGCGTAATGAACAGTAAGATCTTGAGGAGTTCATCAAAAAGAAAAACTGTGAAACTTGAAATCCACATAGGACGCTTCACAAGGGTGGAGTAAGCTTTTCTGTTGCACAGGAGAGGCGAATTTAAGGATTACTGTAAAATGAAATTCTGTCTAATGTTCTTTTTTGAGTACATTTTTTAAATTATAAAACATACAAAGGTAAAAAAAGAAAACTGTTGCCAAGTATGTTCTGTGTATGTTCTGTGAAAGTACCTACAGCACAGTTGCCTTTTGTTTCATTTATACATGTAAAATTATTGTATAATACAACACTGTTTTGTCCCAACACAACGGTATTTGCCAAGCTTTGTGCATTGAAATATTTTTATTTATTTGGGTTTGGGCAGTATTAATATATCATAAACATATGGCTACTGTTTTATATATTCTAGTTCATCCAATCCATGTATGCTGTAAATGTGCTAGTCTTTAGGATGAGAACCAATAAAGAACTGACAGGAATAACAGATTGTGGCTTATTTTTCATGTGTTAAAATAAACGCTTTCAGGTTCCTTGGCTCGATACGCTTTGTCTGTTGGAGAATATGTTAAGCTCGGCTGTGTATGGAGATATTTTACACGGATGTGCAAGTCAGGAAGTAGTTAACTCCTAAACCCTGCTGAAGTACAGCTGCTGTCAGTTTTCTGCAGTTAAGTCAGACACCGGTTTGTCATGACATGCTATACCTTCAGCAACAACAGTTAAACAAAGAAGCAGTATGAGATTTATTTCTTTTCTTAATTTTATTTACTTTCTCTCTGAGTCCTCTACAAGACCTTCCTGAGCTTCGTTCTCTTGTTTTTCACTCTTCCTTTCATTAATAGAATTCCTTTTCTGCTGCTGCTTCCCCTTCAGCCAGCGCATCCCTGCAGCAGCTTTAGTAGTTGTGCCACTTTTCAGCAGGGAAAAGTTGTCTTTGTTGATTGTCTTTTTGATTTCAGGTTAAATAAATTTTATATAATCATGTAACAGACAATAATCCAGAGCATTCTGATTTCTATAAAAAATGAACAATTGAACATAAAAATGTAATTCTGCAGTCACTGGATGCTTGAGAACTGCCAAATGCAATTTTATTTGCATGAAAGAGGACTTGAGGGCCTCAGTGAATCAGTTTTTCTTGTTATACGGAAAGGAAAACAGTACCACGAAAAAACCCCACACTGCTTTCATTCAAAATGCAGAAAGAGAAGATGCTTGACAGGTGGGAATGCCTAAATTGCAAATGCAGAATACATATACATACATGTGCGTGTATATACGCATCTGTATTTCAAAATTTTTTAATTGGTGTCAAAAAAATAATCTACCAGCGTTCTTTTTGATTTAAAAAGGTGAGGTGTTTAACAGATGGTTGGAAGTTTAACCTCTTTAAAGGGCATTCTGAGCTATTAGAGAAATTGTCCCTTGTTTGAAGCTGACGTAGGTGTCCCAGTTCCAAACCCGAGGCGACCGTGAATGCGGGTTGCCGGTGGAACTGTGGCTGTATGAAGGGTGTACGCCTGTCCATGGGTTGTAAATGGTGCTGTGGGGAGCTGCTGGGAGCAGCGATGGCTGCGTGCTTCGGTGTGGGACCGGAACTCGTTTGCTCTCTTTGGCGTGACTTTTGCCGTACAACAGCCTTCGGGCAGGACTTGAAGCTCCAGTACAGGCTTCTGTGTGCTGGCACTAACTGCACTTCAGGAGAGGCTTGCCTGATGCCACAAAGGTAACGTCTCAAAGTTTGAAACATGTACTCTGCCAGAAGAGAGGAAACGTTAATAGATGCAACACAAAAAATGCATGAGATGATGGGAAACAAAGAAGAGTACAACAACAAATAGCAAACCACTTGTTTACGCCAGAAGAAGAGTCCTTATCAGAAGAAATTATAGGTAATTGTGGCGACCAAGAGTAAGCTTTCAGTTTGTGAATTCCTAAACATTCCAAAGACTCACCTCAGAAATTCTCTATCTATACATTGTTGCTGACTGCATATGGGTTTGTTTAAAATAGCTCTCCCTAATGAATGACAGGACTTCCAGGCTATGAATGGGAAAGCTTAACAGCAACCTCTTTTTCTCACATTATTTTAAGTGTCAGGCGAACTTTCTGCTCCCAATTAATGAAATATGTTGCCCATTGCAACCGACTCCCTTTGGCAGCATGATGGTGACGTGTGGAGCTGTGTCCTAATTTATTCAGTAGTGTCCAACGCGATCAGTTGATCGCATGAAAACACAGTTTATAAGAGCCCGGTATCCCTGCCAAGCATCCCTTTTTTTTTTTTCTTGAGTCATGCCAATATTGTTGTATGTTATTTGCCAGTCTGGTCCTGTAATTTCTGATGTCTTCTGTATTCCGCACAGACTTCAGGATCAAGAATTTTTTTTTTTTGTGCTGGCTGTTGTGCTTATAGCCTCAGTATTCTGAATATGAAGTTCTACAAGTCTCTATTTTACAGATTTCACAGCATAAGTAACGTAGTGTACATCCCCTAATGGAATTTATTGTAAAGTTCTGGTCCTTGCAGTCAAAATACTTGAGATAATGTGCTGTTAATTACTTATGTGTATCATTTTGTACCCAACCCCAAATCACTATGCTTGTTGGCTGTTCCTGAGGGAACAGGGTGGAGAAGCCTTCCCAGTGTCTCCAACAGTAACCGCAGTTGTAACCCCAGACTGGATCAGTCACTGCCCATCAGGCTTACCGAACGTTTAATTATTCATAAAGTTGAAAAGCTAAAAGAAGAGAGATTACAATGGCCAACGGGAAGGGCATTACCTGCAACAGGGACAGATTACACTGTCGCTGAAATCAGAGATCTGGGCTGGGAATGGTTTTGTTTGCTTACTGCTCCCATCCGGGTCATTAGAAACATTAGAAAATTTATCTGCTGAAACTATGCAGGGATTCCTGGCAAAAACCTGTGGGATGGTTTTTTTTTTTTTTTTGGGGGGGGGGGGGGGGAAAGGAGAGGTTTTAGAAAACTCTCAATCTAATTTAAAACCAAAGTTTTAATGATAAAGAACTGGAATACAAAGCAGTTACTTACTCACAGGACCTCCGCTCAGCCCCAATTC